ATACCAAACTAGTGGAGTATTTTCACAAAAAATATGAATATCATGGTAATAAAGACATGATATTCAATAAAATCAATATTACAAATGACATTCTACGTTCTTGTACTTAATCCTAAAAGCGTGGATCGTTTTGGAACTTCTGTGAAACGTGCGGCTGGTAACTTTACGAGTAAAATAATGAAATCGGAACTTTTGTGCGTGACTTTGACCTTTATTTGTTGTGCGTATAATCTAACCTGTAAAATTGAATATTCTAAGATTCTATTTATATTAATTGTATACTTTAAGATAAGCGTATTTTACCTGAGTACATCTCACGCAGTGCTAATAAAGATAAGATTTTGTTACGATAGTTACTTACACCACATGACAAAACAAATGTATTATAAATTGTTCTAGTGCATTGTTTCGCTTCAGTTGTTGAATATTTACCAGTGTGTTATTTTCTGTAGGTTGTTTTTTCCGTTTCATATCGTCAATTAAATGTACAGGAGCTCCTGCCAGGCATCTCGTCTTTATACCTAGAAGCAGATACCTACTGTAGACTTGTTGATACACAAACAATTACGGCACAAAGCCAGAGGTCTACACGCGTTGATGACGTACACTTGGCCATTGCCTATTCAAACAAATAAAAATTAAAAACAAAAATTGCACTGACTGACTACATGGTGTATGTTCGTCTATACGGTGTGTGCACCCACAAAGTTGACATCATCAACGTAATTCGTCTCAGACGAGGGTTTTAGGCCATAGTACGCCACGCTGGTCCAATGCGGGTTGGGGACTTCACACGTTTTCCGAGGGTTGTCAACCTTTTTCGACGTGCAGGTTTCATCGTGATATTTTCGTTCGAAAACCTCATGGTATATTTCGAATTAAATTTCGTATATAAATTGTGAGAAAGTCAGGGGTGCGGCCCGGATAAAGTCGACGCCCTAAGACATTCAACGCCAAATTTGTCATCGCGTTGCGAAATTTATTGTTTTTTTATAAAACTTCGCTTTATGCCTAGTAGGATGAGGATGTTCAGTCCTGCCTTAAAATATTGCTGGAACACACTGTAGTCTAAAAAGCAATTGATATCATCGCATTATTGTAGCCAATACAAAGTAGTTTTAAGAAACGCTTTCTTTTCCCCATTAAGTAAAAATAAAATTATTTTTATAATTACTGTTAGACAAGGCGGTAATAGGACAGATTTCGTTAGTACATTGTTGTAAAGAGTGTAGCAAACTAATGTTAGAGATATAAATTCAAATGTTTTAGCTCCCCAAGTTTTTAAGTATCTATATGAATAATGAATACATAATATTAATATAATAAAAAAAAAAATTTTTCTTACGTAACCCTGTGCAAGATGTGATGTATAAGTGTACTTCTAAAAAGCAAGTTACAATAAAACGATATTTGAAAGGATTGGACAACAGCGTAAAATAAGAATCAACTATAAAAGTTTACATTAATAGCTTCGGCGGGCGTCCTCCGCGCGGTGTGTGTGTGTGTGTGTGTGTGTGTGTGCGTGCGTGTGTGTGTGTGTGTGTGTGCGTGTGCATGCCTCGCGCACGTGAGTGTGTGAGTGCGCCTGTGCGGGGCGTGGGCGTGCGCGTGTGTGTAACAGGAGTAAGTCCGACCAATGCGGGTTAGGTTGAGATCTATATGAGATAAAAATGGGACAAGTAAATAAAAGTCAAATCAAATATGTTTGATGAGTTTTATAATAAAAATATACGATTACAATGACATTCCTTTCTGCATTATCGCGTTCATTTCAAACAATATTGCTTCCATTTTAGAATATAGTTATTTAAAAAAATAACTTTAATTAGAAGGTACATTTAACAAAATCGTGATAGTGCGTTTTAATACAAAAATCTTACAGACGACGGTCTTATATTACATCAACATGATTATTTATATAGCATTTCAATGGTTAACAAATGTATTGCAAAAATACTATTTAAATCTCTCAATTTAGATCCTCACTGTAATAAAAATAGTGCTATTATATGTTTCGTAAAATATTGTCAGTAATAATGGATCATCAGTTAGATTTGATGTGTTCCATTAAATTTGTATTTTCATTATGACTAGCAAATGTACTTATTTTGTTTTAATTAAAACAATACCGGGAAAGCCAATGTGCTAAATTACAAAAGAAGTAGGGAATCTCGTTAAGACAAACTTCGAGACCCACAATTTTGGGACTAAAAAGTAATTTCGGTCAGTAACAAAATTCTTTAAATTTATTAGACCACAATTAGTTGACTGATTGAAGTTACAGAGGTACGCAATGTTCAGTGAAAATTGCTCGTAGCTGCGTAGCACACATCTACGGTGTAGCTTGTAAACATCTTAAAACTTAACGAGATCCAGTTTATACCTTAGTTTCAAAGATAAGAATGAAATACCTAAATGTCATCGATAAATTAACTACAAGTTAGTATGTACAGACTTAAGAATAAAATTACAAAATAGAGCTACAGTGGCAGCTTTTCTTATGTACGAATTAGAGAGTATAATCTAAAACTACCATGCCACCCGCGCTAAGGCATCTAAATCACAATTTCTACGTCTACGCCCTAGAAAAGAATAGAAAAGATATGCAAGTTCACAACTTAGTTTTACCCTAGAGTTGATCAAATGAGTGTGCGAGATAGGAAGGAATATGACTAAGGCCCAATTTACTGCGGAGCGGAATGGAATAGAATGAAATTTTTGTAACCATAGCATAATGAACTTTAATGTCAATTGTGAAATATACAAACTATATTAGACACGAGCCAAAAACAGCATCGTCCTGAGAATCCTCGCGTAGTCTCGGGAATCTAGTTGTACGTTACACAATTGACATTTATAAACTTAATTATGCTATGTACAATTTCGTTACTAAAATTCGCTTCCCTTCCGGTCCGTAGCCATGTAATTTGAGCCTAAATGAAGCTAAATATAAAAATGCTAGAGGAACGGATTTGTTTTACAATTTGAGCAATAACTTAATTTTCTTATTGCAGCACAGTGCTGAATATAAGTCTCGCCAACCGAATGCTACATTGTACGGTCATGGGCGATCGTGGACCCAGGGCACCTTTTATCAAATAAATGCTTTTCTTTTTTTTCCTTCTTCTTTCTATCAAACGACTTTCTGTATCAAGCAGATTGTATTTACTACATAGCATTTTCAGTGAATCACCGCTAAAGTTTGATTTGTTTTAACGTTTTTTACTACGTTAATCAACTCGCATGGCCTAACAACACGGTGGATCTGGTGTTCTTTTTTCGATATCTCAAGTAAAACACCATAGATATAAATATTTACATTAATATATTGACATTAACCATTAATGGTTAATGTTAATATAGTAATCATTAATGGTTAATGTCAATATTGGGAACATTAAACTTTGATTTCTTAATGCAATTTTCATGGAATTTTGTATCTGTTTTGATAATTTAATGACTGTATTTCATTTTTAAGATAACACATAAGTAATTTACGATATCTTTTAAATAACCTATTTAGCAGGTTGATTTGGTAATTATGCCTCGTTCACGTTTATTATTACGAGTTTTGCCCGGTAGAAACACTCTCGAGCTCTCTTCACAGCTCGTTGAATATTACATCATTAAGATGTGTAGACAAGCGTAACATGCGCTAATAATAAGTACAGAGGTATAGCTATATTTGTACATACCTACAATATAATTCTTAGAATAGCCAGAAGGCTTAAGGTGACAAAATAGGGGTTTAGAGATGAATTAGGGACCACTCGCCATATAATCATGTTATAGTAAGACTAAGATGCGGTTTATAATAAAAGTGTTAAAGAGTATATTTTTTTTATAAAATAGAACTTAAATTCGGATTTAAGTGTAGAGCCTATTACGATAAAGGCAAAAACTTACTGGTTAAACCAATTAGTTTTTGCCTAGCGATAAAGAAAAGTCGCTTTTTGTAAAACCTTTTCGTTATGAAGCACGCTTAGACTATGGAAATTCCATCCTCGAAGGAAGCATGTCACGTAGAAGAAAAACTATTGCTGTCATTCGACGTCGTTTGTTTTTAATATTCATATACATCTGTGATTTCATCGCCTTACTTTCTCAAATTAGTATCTTAAAACACAAAGTTACTGAATTGCAAAAAATGGATTGCATATAAGTACAAATTTAGCAGGCTGATGTCACATCACATTTCCTTCATATTCACACACGTGCTGTTACCTATTAAAGTAATGCATCCAAATTGACACCCTTGATAAGAAATTTAAAATAAATAGAAAGTTTTGCCATCTCCTGAATTTCACTGTTGATAAGATACGAGTTTGAGAAAGTAAGGCATCGAATCCAATAGACATTTAGATAATATCTTCCAAACGCTTATTATTCCAGTAAACTCTCAATAATTAGCCAACACCTTTTAAAACTGAATAAATTTAAAAAAATGGCCAACAATTTTAAATTCGGGTCACTATTGTTTAAATTACCATAAACAACAATAAACACGTCTACTATTTGATGCCATTTTTAAACACCGAGCGAACGCTTCAATTCTATCAGGAATGGTGCGTGGTGCGACACGCGCTATGCAACGTGAGTGCACTTCGAGATTATGCGAATGTGTGCGTCCTACAAGACACGCGGCGGGCGTGCACACATTCAAACCGCGCTGCTATGTTTGTAAGGAGTTACCCTACTTGTCTTATTATACGATGATAAAAATAAAGACCGCACAATATAAATGATTGATTCACATCCATTATTGACAAAAAAACCCCGTGACATTATGAGGAAAATTGGTTATAGCAACATTTGACGGAATTAGAACAACGCTCCCAAATTTACGAGGTTTTATATAATGGAACATATCGTAGAAGATACTATTGTATGTATGCCATTTTGGACAGACAGTAATTAAGATATGAGCGTCTTCTAACTACAATAAACTACTCGCATTATTTTCTAAGTGATAAAATCGCATGACAAGTTAGAATTTGCTTTTAAGTTTCACAAGACTTAGCAACAGCTACAACAGCAAAATCGAGCTACGATTAGAATCTAAAAGTTAGTCTGAACCAGCCAGAACTTTCATTAAAAGCGACAAAATACCTCAATCTATCACATAATCCTTCGATAAATATCTAATATAATCTTTGTATATCGTTTTCCTTTCATACATACATATGTCTCTGGTTGTACTTTTGCTTTCGTAGATATTTTTTTCTTATTTATATAAATAAAATATTTCTGTACTATATATTTATCTATTTTGATATACAAAACTAAATATTACTTGATCAATCGGGACAATTGTCGTCTTCCGTCAGAGCCTTATTTTCAATAGTAAAAAAGGTAGCGTCTAATAGTTTCTCGCAACAAAATTTCGAAAAGTAGGTATGTTGATTTGTACTCCGTAGTTACAATCCGTTAGAATATTAAGCGTCTATTTAACTATGAAATACAAAATATACCGAAGCGCAACAGTCTTTCTTATTTTCAAATTTGCGCACTGAAATATTTTTCTTTTTGTACAGTTGTGTACATTTTCACAGGTAAAATGTAGAACATTTTTCCCACAAACTTAATAAATGACCTTTTACCTCATTTATTCTAGGCCACAGTGGCCACACATCAAAACTAAAAATGTAGGCCTCGACCTGTACAATTGTATTATTTTGCTAGTTTCAAATTTCATTAATTTCAATAAGAAATGGCTGAATTCTAGAACCTTAACGAACTACTGTTCGTACCGTCCGTAGATGGTGCATATTGAGAATTGCATATCAAGAATACTTTGCTCATTGTGCTACGACTAAATATTAACTGAGTAGGTTTATATTATATACGTTATATCAATAAAAACGAGTACAACAGACGATTTAAAGATCGTATTTTTTGTCGATCGTTAATAAATCGTGCTCATAGTAGGCACATTTAGTTATAAAAACATAGCTAATAGATTTTCTTAAATTTCAAAAAGACGTACGTAAGTTAATGCCTCAGTTGATCATAAATTTACAAGGTCACTGTAGTAATATTGCCATTATTCTCATAAGGACAGATTCTCAATAGGACGGATTCTCAAGAAGACGGATTCTCATGAAGACAGATTCTCAAAAGAACAGCAGTACACGTAAGGAGAAAAAGAGAAAAAAATAGAGATAAAATTATTTTAATAACTTGTCAATTGTCGTCGTCAAAACGTCTTAGTATCGCAAGGCGTTGCAAACACTCAAAGACCGATATTTCACTCCGTACACATTCAGATACAATCTGTTCAATTTTTCTGTCAACTAAAATGTCACTTTTTCTCCTTCTTTTTCCCGCACAATAAAAGGACCCTCTGACAATTTTTATGTCCGACAGTTTTGCTTCCTTCTTCAAAAGCATGATGAAATAAAGCATCGATGGCCTTTTAGGAATTCTAGAATTAATTCTTTTATGCCACCCTTCGATTGCGTTTGTCGTTCGAAATTTCTCGCCAAAACAACTGAAAACTTCTCTCGTAATAAGATTGATCCATTGCTTCGAGAAATAATTTTGGAATTGTGTACTTTCTTCAGTATTAGGAGCTAATTCACATAATGTCAGATACGCCTCCGGTATAAGCGACGCTGGCAACAGTGCTAATAAGGAAAAGAGCTGAGTACATTTACGACCCTCGTTGGATGAACTAAAATTAATCGATTTCGACTTTTTCCAAACTGCGTTTGTAAAATGATAGTAGCAACCCTTTACTACAATGTCAGGATATATTGCCTTTATCGCTTGGATAATAGCCAGTTCGTAGTCACATTTGAAAGTGCTGATATTCATAAAAAATTGATATTTTAAAATTTTGAAAAGTCTCTCGTATGTAGTTTGGCTTTTGTTGGGCAACAAAGCGAACAACAATGGCACAAAGCACACAGTTCCTGATTCATGCGTAATGTCAGCATGTACAGAAAACAGCTGATAGAAAGGAATCGGGCAACATCTAAACGTTCCATCAACGTACACAATATCAACTGTTTTCAATGTTGCTTTTGCCAGTCGAGTACCAAAAATTATAATCTTCTCTTCAACACCATCGTCACACAAAAAGAAATCACTTACTAAACTGTCTGGCAACTGCACATCTTGGGGTCGCAAAAATTTACTTTTTTTTACATTTAAAAATTTATAGCGTGCCCGATACAGCGTATCCTTTTTTGAACTGAATGTAGGTAATTCCTCTGGGGAAAGCATTTCGCCCTGACCAAATGTATGATCAGAATCCTGTTTATGAAGTTTGTAATAGTGTTTCTCAAAAATTTCAGGTATAGGCGCCATATTAAGACAAACCTCTTGTTTGGCTAATGACATTGTGAAATCAATTTTGTTACGTTCATAATCTGGTAAACATACATGTTTAGCTTCTTTCACAATTTCTTTATTATCAGCTGTTAATGTTATGGAAGTGCTACAAATGTTTTTATTGACGCATCGCCAATTAGTTGTACCACACATATTTGTTTTAACAAAATTATATTTATGGCCAGCGTGCAGAAGCACCATTCCTTGATTCGATAACCGGCCTTTACCTATAACAATAAGTAAAAAACTTCATTCGGTGCTTCTTTTCCGTGGTTCAGTCGTGATATACCGGTTGACAGGACCACAGCTAAACTTTTGGTTGTCTATAGATTTGACTGTACCCATGGTCACTAAGAATTATCGTCTGTCCGGTTAACTGTACTACCACATGAAAGTTTAGGTATGGTATGGTCCGGTCAACCGATCTATCACAACTGAACTACTCCCCAGTTCTATCCATCAATACATGTTGTACAGCTCCAAACGGAACAGAGACGATAGGAAAACTGTCCTGACACAGTAAATGAATATTCATAAAAATTAACAGCTCATAAACTGAGTCGTACCTTTATTTCCTTCAATTATCACGATGTTAATTTTTCCAGAACTAGGGCCCGCTTTATCCATTTTTGAAAAAAAAATCAATGATTTTACATAGAGATAGGAAAATTAGCTTACATTCAAGATATTTCATGACAATGTCAAATCAATGACATGTTTAATAATTAGTTTTATCAAATCACCAGTAACAAAACAAATTATACAGCAAGGAGATTACACTTTCCACTGCAATTTACTCATATACCTACTCTGCTGTTTCAATCCACTATTCCCCGGGAGTCAACAACAAGCATCGTGTATGGATACCCACGGTCCATACATAGGCCTGTGCCCTGCAGTGGGACGTATACAGGCTGTGTGATGATGATGAAACAAACCGACACACCATAATGCGTTATATGTTATGTATTGTGAAAAAAAGGATCAATTAATAATTTCAAATAAATTTAAAAAATGATCACGTGCATCATAAATGCACAAATTAACCATTTATGATGTATCGGTTTGTTTACACCCTGGGAACAGTGGATTGACATTTTGACCAAATATTGTGATATCATCATCAGTATCACTTCAGGCGAAAGACGTCCACTGCTAGAAATAGGCATCCCTCAATGATAGGCATCCTCAATTATCGCCACGACGACAAAAAAAAGTACTATTTAAAGGCCCATACAAAAAGTAACCAACGCGCAAGGAACATGCAGACATACGTTAAACTTATGTTACCGAGGCGTATTTCAAATACTTTTGCGTGCACCTGTACAATTTCCGGTTTTTTGAGAATCTGTCTTCATGAGAATCCGTCTTCTTGAGAATCCGTCCTATTGAGAATCTGTCCTTATGAGAATAAAGGCTCAATTCATATCATTCGAATTGTGAATTGTCGGTACAAATTGTTTCGTTGATCGGATTATTAATGCACTTAATTACATATGGCATTAAACAGGACGAAGTCGAACCTCGCAAAGGAAATGAAACAAAGCGTCAATTATTAAATAATATGTTAGGAAGAAATATTGCGGAAACTCCAGTTACCTATTCTTCAAACTGTTAAAGTTAGAGAAAAAATACTTTTCACTACACAAATTCATCGTGTAGTGAAAAAAAAAGTCGTGTTTTGTCTTGTTCGGTTTATTGCAGTTTATTTATGTGAAGTTAAAAAATTAGTTTTAGTGTGTAGTCGTAAGCTGCAGACAGCGATCTGCAATTTTGATGTAGTTACAATGCTGCTAATGGGAATACACCATTAGACAGCGGTTAACCTATATCAGTATCTACAATCTTTACAAATGAGTTTTCCGCAATATCCTTTGTATAAACAAGTTAGAAGTGCTTCTTAACTTTTGTTTACGTTAAACTACCTGTGCCAACTATCTCTACGCTCTCAATAAATTTCTTTCTCTAACTCCCAAATTTAAATCTAATTCATAGTCAACGGAAGGTCTAATTTTGCATGCAAATAGCATCAAATTTGAAAAGAATTATTTCTTTTATTTAAAATTATTTCTTTTAAATCAGTAGTACTAATAGCATGAGCTATGCAAGTTTTCTACATTCCAACGTCATGTTCCTCGTATTTACTTCTTAAACGTTAAAAACTCTTATTCTAAGTTGTACCAAACGGTCATACAAAATACTAAACCCCTTAAGGCTTTGCCTGGGGTAAAAATGCACACGATGTGCGTTTAAAATTTTCACAACAATTTCGTATTCATTGACCACGTCCACTTCTTCGACCACCATACCACTTTCTCTAACACGGCATAATCAATCGGGGACATGATGTACCTGTGCATCGATATCTTATAACGCAGTTAAAGGTTATTTCAATAGACTTTTTAAAGCATGGCGTCCACTTACAACATCTAATGTGAAGCGACATAAATGTTCTTAAATGGCTTCCACATTTTAATCCGGCTCTTTAGAACCGTCTATTCGAAGTAATAGCTCTTGTCTTTTCAAGTCCATATTTTCTAACATTTATAACGATAAGCTTTGCCGTTACGTTACGTACGTTACAGCAGTTACTTGTATTTAATTTTAATAGATACAATTAAAAGATTCAGGCTGTGCATGCAGAATATGCACACCACGAAAGTCCAACGTGCGGTATCCCATCACTACAAAGTTTATTTTAAATTAAAATGTTGGGAGAGCTCAGACACGGTATGCTGAAGGCGCTGGTTCGAATACAGCTAGATCGAATGAATTGTTCTTATTGTTCGATATTTGTATTAATAATTATAACAAACTAGTGAAGTAATTTCACAAAAAATAAATGAATATGGTAGTAACGTGATATTCAATAAACTTAAATTGTATAACTCATCATAAGTCTGAGGGTGTGACAGTCTAGTCATCCCAGCAATACCATCCTCGTCTGTGGTATTATTATCGTTAAACATCATAATATACGAGACAGAAAATCTCATGGTAAGACCACGTGTCCGGGGCGCTTATTTAAAGGCAACTCGGAGACTTATGTCGAATGGTGAATGACATTATTTTATTCAGTAATGAGTGATAATTGTTCTCGTTGTGGCTGGACGTCTACGTCTGTCTCAGCATTGGGGTCTTGGCGTTGCATTGGCGAGCGGTCGGCGTTCTGGTGCTGACAGTGGGCGGATACGGACCGGCGGAGCAGGGGTTACGTGCAGCGTTGCACGGCACGGGATCTGCAATTGAAGTCACTTTTCATTTCACATAAATTATTATAGACTATTTCTACCTCTACCTATTTGTCACATTTGTGGCTTTGTTGTAGCGGACATTGTCTTTTGGAATCAATCACCAAAAGGTTTTTTTGTACAATCTCAGGAAATGATATAACAATGTTATATTACGGTCATTTATTTCACCGTTCTCTATTTTGTGTTATTGACCTGTAAATATGAGATGGTGGCCCTATAACGCAATCTTAACGTAACCAATATATGAACAAGAACAAAATATGAAGTACTAACAAGACGTTCTTACTGGCGGTCTTGTGCTAGGTAGATGATGTCTCTTCCAGATTACCATAATAATAAAACAAAACAATTGAAATGCATTTATGGGGTGAAAATGTGAGTTTTATATCAGTTCTATTACACATTGATGTATTAAAATATAGATGTCAACGTACAACACGAAAACGAAGTTTATTATGCCATCTTTAATATTCGTAAGCATCGTTAAATCCTTCAGATTAATCTCACGACAAGCGTAATCCCAACAATGTTGGAGAAATATCCATTATGAAGGATAAAACAAATCCGGGCTCGAGAATATGAGCTCAGTGCAAGTGACGTGTTCATATTCCTACCCTGTATCTAAAAGCCTTGAAAACTGCCGATAGTTTGTCTATCTAGTCTAAAATTATACACACTATTGATAATATCGGGATGAACTAGTTGAATCGATACTATTTCGATACGTCGTAGGTCCTAAAGCAATAGCTGCCTAGGTTACAATGGTTTCGATAGACTAGTGTCGTTAGTATCGGAATGGTGTAGTCGAATCGATACTATTTTGATACGTCATAGATCCTAAAACGACTAACTGCCGTGGTCACCATAGTTTCGATAGATTAATATCATTAGTATTTGGATCGGATTGGTAATCGAATCGGCGACTAGCTGCCGAAGTCACTAGAGTTTCGATAGTAGTGTTTGTATGTGTAGTGTGTAGATAGTTTCGGTTTAGTATCGGACTTAGTCGATTTGATACATCAGAGGTCCTATAGCTACTAGCTGCCGAGGTCACAATAGTTTTAATAGTCTACTGTCGATAATTTCACATCACGTACAATTCTAGGTTTAAGTTACATTGTAAATAAAACTAATGGCTATACACAGAGGAAGACGTATAAATGGTAAAAGTAAAACAATTTTAAAAATTAAAAATTGCGGACTTTTGCAAACGAAGTAAAGTTGTTTTAGGATCTAAGACGTATCGTTCGAAACTATTTGTGACCTTGACAAGTCGCTATCGGATCTATGATGTATTGAAATAGCATCGATTAGAGTACTTCATTCCGATAATGTCGAAACCTAGATTGTTTGGATTATTTTGTTCATTAGGACGTCAAACTCGCGGGCCGTAGACAGGTAACATTAGCACAGGATTGTGTTCAATAGCACAAATTACGTGAGGCCTTTTCCCAGCACTAGGTAAAGGCGGACTGTGGATGACAGTATTGTGATAGTCACACAAAACTACAATGAAGATATGGCATTGTGGTACAGCTGCAACTTCTTCACTAGACATATTTTATCTAACAATATCAACCCTTCTCTCTTCACAATATTTTAATTTTGTCGTGAGTGTAGGTAGATAGACTGTAGAGTAAACAGAGATGTGTAAATGTTAGGTGACTGTCTAAATATCTACCGAATAAGATTTTTAGGCTTTACAAGAATTCCGGTATAGAAAATATTTTCTTCAGTTGTATGAACACCACAAAAGTCGCCGAGGTATCCAAACTATACCGGCTGACACATTTTCAAACACTCATTAGTACACGCCCTTAAACTGTAATGATTCAGGTCACTTGAGGTGAGTCGAGTTCGTTCGCAAAACAAAAGAAACAATGAACCTTTTCATAAGCAGGAGGTGATTAAGTGCTTGTGGGGTGACGTGCTACATTGAATCCGGGTCCCAGTTCACCGATGGAATCACCCATGCACAGCCTCCTTTATTTTGTCTGTGTAAAAAAAAGAAAATTAAAGAAAGCTTGATTTCATTAAAAAAAGCTTATACTTTCAACTAAAAAGTAAGAACATTTAAAAAATCGCATCTTTTCTCCTTGGGTGTAATAACGCCATACCTGCAAATTGACAACTTTTCAAGAGAGAAGTTTACAGATTCTACGAATTAAATTAATCGATAACTTTTTTATAGTTAATTAGTATAAAATTTTACATACTTAGGCCATACTGAAATTTTATGGATTCTGATAAGGCCAGATATTATGTTTATAATAGATTTACTGTTGTTTTGTTGTTTTTGTTTTTCAAAGTATATGAGCTCGCTATTCGCACATTTTACCATTCGTTGGAATCGTTGTGAAAAGCAGTCGGATAAATCTTCCGTAGAGATCTATTCAATGGCTTCGTGGAACGCATTCACTTCCGGGCTTGTAAATCGTAAACCTCTAAGTTTATCTTTGATTTTTGGAACTCAAAAGAAGTCGCATGGTGCAAGGTCTAGGTTGTATGGCGGAACGGTCATCAGCTCTACATTTGAAGCCTTCAAATACGCATTCTATACCTTAGCGGAATGTGCAGAGGCGTTGTCGTGGTCAAGAACGATATTGCTTCGACGACGCTTTTTGCGAATTTTTTCTAACAACCTGGGCAAGCATGTGCTTACATACCAATCTGCGGTCACTATCACTATCCTTTAATTGGTCTTCAATCGCTACAGTAGTGTAATGTCCTGATTTGCCGAAGACAGAAGCAACCATTTTCTTACCAGCAACTTGATTTTGATTGCCTCTCCCGATTGGAAACGGCGTCTTTTCCGAGTCGAGGCGCATAATTGCAATTCACAACTGGCCGATCGGAAACTTTTGACATTTTTAATCGGAACAATAGTTGATTTAACTCACAAATTAAAAAGATATAGTAGAAATCAGGTTCATCTTCTCGTTCTGAAAACCCATCTGATTTCGAGACTACCCAATCGGTTTGATCCTGATTTGAATCAAAACCAGGAAGCAGAGCTCAGACTTTTGTTAAGTTTCGTCGGCAAATCTTCAAAATGAAAGACCCATTCTGCGGACTGGCTTTTTATTTACGGTTCAAAGCAGTACCCACTGGTTTCGTCACCTGACACGATATTATAAATACGGCCAATGATTGTCCTCCATTAGTTTTTTATCATTTTACGGCACCACTCTAAATGCAGTCGTTTCTGGTATTCCGTTAAACCATGCGGTATCCATCGAGTGTAAAGTTTCCGAACTCTCAAATGCACATGCAATATCTTTTGCACCTTGCTCATTTCAATGCCTAATACAGTACGAATTTGTCATACGGTATCAATATTAAATTCGGTAACCGCAGTCGCCTGCCGACCTTCACGAACATGGAGTTGATAACGTCCACGTCTCAATTCACTGAACCACGAATAGACAGAGCTACGACATGGGGCTTCATCTTAGAGGATGGAAAATAGTGTAAGGGCTTCATCACCAAATGCCAATTGAAGTCTCTGACAGCTATCTTGTTGAAGTTGAAGTCACATCGAAAATCGTAGAAAATCATGGACCGAAAATTTTCACGACTGAAATTCATTGTAATAGCGACTCATAGTTTTCAAAACGATGCCACAATGAAAAAACTAATGACAGTTTCATAGAGCAAAAAGTAACGTACTCACAGAGAGTTCCTTTTTAAAATTTTGTATTTCTTTTTTTTAGTTTCTTTCACAAATGGCCAGTTCCAGAAAAGTGCAGTATGCCTTTAGAGTAGTCAATAGTCTGTCCGCGTATATACACACATTTGATTCATATAGTTTGTATTATTTTTATGACTTTCATGTATCAAAGTACTTTTGACGTATAATCATATGTGGCTTTCTTATACCAAGTATACGAAATGTTGCTTTTGGAAAATTATGAGAGTAAATATAATATAATAGACCTGACCACTGAACACAGTTAGTGGGTATTCTCTCTGTTGCGTTCTATTTAATGCTCAGCTACTGTCGAAAAACATCAAAAGAAACATGAAAAAAAGAATACGATAGGTTTTTGCTATATCACGGTGTCTGGCAATCGGCCGAAAGCTGGTAACCAGGATGTAAGAAACCCAATTTTTTGTGACATTAATCATTTCTGTAAGCAGGATTTTTGAATAAGCGACTTGGCAACTATTGTTAGCGAAAGTATTATTTATTACTCGTACGTCGCCTTGGCATTACCTAGTTGTTTCGGAGGGGCAAATATTATGACATGATATTTCGCGATGTTATGCTTGCTCGTGAAAACTACTTTTCCTAACAACCATTACAGTATGTCATGTCCAATATACGACAGTACTTAATAAACTGACAATTTTCATACATAAGCTACCTGATTAGGCTATGGACAAAATGTAGGTACGAAATGTACACGTTCTTCAAAACACCTTAATATAGTGTATACAAATATGGGAAAAAAATTCAAAGAACTAAAAGAAAAAATGAGTATGAGAGACAGTGGAAAAGGTTATCTCTAAATCAGTTGCAGACTTGATTCAATGTGTACATGGTGCCTAGTGTCGTTTTTAACAATTTATGCAAAGGCAACACTTTACATTATACTTACTGCCTTCATTGCCGAACGGTTACATAAATGGTCTGCCACGCAGCGGTGCTGGTTTCGATTCCCGGATGCATGGAGAAATATTTGAATGGCTCACGAGAGAAAAAATTATTACTCTCGTGAGTTTAGGTGTAATTTGTGGTTGTTCATGTGTGTGTCCATGGCACCCGCGATAGAGGGTTGCCCTAGTGCGAAGCTTTAAAGAAGAGAATGAGAAGAGATATTCATTCTCACCTATTGACAGCTCCTCTGTGCGGTGAGCCTGGCGGTGAAGGTGCTGGAGATATAGCCGGTGTCGCGGGCGCAGATGCAGCGCGCCGCCGCAAGTACTCCGTGCCGCCGACGGCGATGCCGGTTCCGCCACCGTTCGCGTCCGTCACACGGGTCATGCTGATTCCTGACGCTGACCGCGACGGTCGGCTGTTTGCTGTTGCTGGAATCGCACTTACAATTGCCCAGAAGCCAAAAATCACCAGAGTATGATCTGTCCTCCTTGTCATAACTAACACGTTTGCATTTCGATAACTTTTGAGATATGCCATTATTGGCATTGGCTTTTATAACCTAAAATTTATTTTGCTTCTTATCGTGTCGATTCTTTTTTATTTATTTTAGGACTATATTGACCCTGAATAGTACGTTGCTACCTTGACTGCGCAGTCGATGGCCGCGTAGAGATCTTCCGTCGTACAGGTATTAGGACACAAGAGACACAACAGTAAGTGCTGCATGGACTGTGTTGGGGCGCCGCAATCACATTGGGTTAGACTAGCATCCCTAAACACGGTCCACCGCAAATTCAACCTGGCGGTAGTTGCTCTTGGGGTATGATGAAACCAGGTGGTGGGAGGTTTTTCTGTTTCCATAGTGCACACCTAGTGCCAGTTGGATGGTCACTCCTAGCCTTTGTGGTGCGCAGGAAACTTTTACGGCTTTTGAGGCGAGCTCGGGAAATTTGGTGGCCATATAAAGTTTATTTTGCTAATAAATAAATTAAGCGCCGATTTTGCTTAATAATAAAACTAAAACTAAAGGGAATATAAAAAAAACGATTGGAAGTATTGTAGATATTTATAACTCAATTTTGCTTAAAATGTCGATTACGTCAGTTATGATAAGGAGGACAGAATAGTAATAACTTTATCGAACATAAACATAGGTTATTCCTTCTTGTCGAACACCTCTTTCATTTCTACTTGAGAGAGAGGATATCGACATCTCTATATGCGCGGGGAAGACGTGAGATGCCCTTTAAGTTGGAAGCTATGTCCGGACATTGTCGCAGGACACTCCGACTGCCATCTCCGGCTCTAGCCCGGAGAGCTAGTAGAGTCCAGCTATAATAGTTATTGGGAACTGGGGAGACGTCGTTTTTCGGCGTCGGGAAGTGAGCGTGTCTTATAGATGAGGAGATTTGGTAGTGGACATAGACAATCGGCGGCTTAGCGGTGGCAACCGCTAATTGTGCAATGCGCAACGGGAAGTGAGCGTGCCTACACCTCCGGCTCCTATCTGGAAAATAGGAAGGATACTATACGTGCACCCGGGGCGGCTCACCCGAGGCACTAGCCTCTCGAAAACCGGATGAAGTCAAGTGACAGAGGTCTGTGACAACCCTGTACACTGACTGATAAACAGTTTGATTTTGATTGCCTCTCCCGATCGAAAACTGCGTTTCTTCCGAGTCGAGATGTATAATATAGCGAAACCCGATCGGATCGATTCCGACTTGAATTAAAATCAGGGCCCTGGGATCAGAACCTGAACTTTTAAGGGCCTTCTCGTATACCCTAAGGGTCGGTAGGGATCAAAACTAATGTAGAAAGATATGGGGCTGTACGTCTACTCACCCCCAGTATAGCTATAGAGACCTGCAGGCGAGGATCTCGGGCGGTACCCTGACATAGTGGATGTCGTGGACAGAGTGGAAGGCGAGCGCTTCATCGCCGTTGTCGTCGTTGGTTCTGTACCGCCGGTCACTGTGGACGGCCTCCGCTGTCGCGGCTGTCGTTTTGAACCTGTTCTGCAGACGCCTGTAAGAAACAAAATTAACAGGTATATAATAAGCATCATCTGAAACGTGGTGTACGCTTTACAGCCTCGTTTTTCTCATCGGTCTTTTTTCGGTATTGCCACATTAAAATGGTAAGTATTTACGTCGGCGTTGTGATACCAAAATACTTTTATTTTTTCGGTCCCACTATATGGTGTATACGTTTGTAGTAGTAGTGTTATATATGAATATGTAAAGTACCTATTGAATACAGCGGTTTTCTTGTAAAATTTCGAGGTAAGTTTGTGTTTTTTTTTCTGACGTGAAAATTTTTAGGAACCTGTTGTCGCACCATATAGTAATCAGTGTACATCCTCAATTTAACTATATATTTTTTCCAAAGTTATTGATTCAACACTTTCACTGTTATGCGGAATCAACCAAAGCCATATGAGGTTGTATAGACCCTTAAGATTCACGCTTGTGATACTCTTGACTAGGGATGGGTATCGATTAATCGGAATGATCGATGGTTTTATGGAATAATCGATATTTTTTTACTTGATGTCATCTGATTCGATTAATTGGATAATCGATGATTTCATACTGATTTTTGCTAAAAAAAATAAAACATATCTTATAATAATATTTTATGAACATGTTAAAATTTGGAAAAAAAAACCGCTTTTAAATCCAAATGTACATTTTATTTAGTCGATTTCCAAAAAATGAGACTTGCGCGCAATACCTTGGCACCAGAAAGATGGATTACATAAGCTAATCATAAAACTTGTCTCCACCGCCTTTGAATAATTTATAATTAATACTGGTGTCTATACTACTATATCGTTGTAATATGTGTAATTTGAAATAAGGGGGAAAATGAGGGTTATGTTATGAGGTTCCTATGCATGCCGCCTGAGCCGCCACCTGTGTTTCTAGCTTAGATTTAATGGAGTATTGTCTAGCTCTCTCTATACCTACTTAGTATTTTTTTAACTTTAGAAATCAAGTAAACATAGAAGCAGGGTTTGTGAACCGTAAGTGATGAAAGTGTCGTTGTAAAATTTTACTTCTACAGCTAAAAAATTCACTAACAAGAATATGAAGTAATGCGACCAATTAAAATACTTATATTTTCTCAATTAATCGATTTTCTAAGCCACGATTAATCGGTACATCGATTGTTTTGTCAAAGAAAAAATCGATGTAATAATCGATGTTTTGTTGGTCGATACCCAGCCGTACTAATGATCAACAAGCGTATTATAAACGATTGAGAAATGAAGCTATTGAAACTAAATATATTTACCAGTAGGACACTGTCTTCCCATGGCGCATTTTCCCTCGCAGATAGTTTTTTGGTTTAACATAGTCTGGTAGGAATCCAACATCACTCTGCATTCGGTCATATCACTGTCCGCTAGCGCCAATGATGGATATCGCTCTTTTAGTCGCCTCCTCTCCTATGAAGTATGGTATTTTAGAGAACGTATGTAGTCATATTGAATGATATACATAAAACGGCACGTTAGTCAGTCCCTGCAAACCCTTAAAAATGTAATAATTAACATACGAGCGCGTTCCCATTATGTCGTGACGACAGATAGTCGTACAGTTTAAAGTATCATGGCTTGTATATTTAAATGAAGTTGTTCACACATAGAACAACACGATTAACTGTCGTTGACGACTTTTTTAACGTTACTATGACAAACAGTCGTGACAATGGGAAGAGCTAAAACGACAGTCGTCAGACGATAAAAAAAACGCCACGATAAAAATATGACGACAGATAATTGCAGCTTCAAACGATTCTGTCGTGCAAACGACAAGGCAGATGCCGTGAACCGATAAATTGTCGTCACGGTCTAGTGGGAACAGCTAGACATAATAGTCACGACAGATAGTCGAGATATGCGAACTGGCTAGACGCGACTGTCGTCCAACGATAAATAAAACATTACGACATAATGGGAACGCGCCCGTGACGTAATATACAGACTGTAAAGTATGTTTTGTCTTAAGCGCACTTGCAAGATGGCGGTTAAACGTGAAACATTGGAAGGTCAAGTGTTTAATAAAACTACATGTTTCCGCGAGCATCGCTTTTTATTTATAACTTCCTAAGCTATTTTAAGCATTATTTATGTGGAATTTTGTTAGAGAGACGGGTACAGAAATAAGCTTTACTTTGCTTTAGTTGAATAACAAGTGCTTGGAAACGTGTGTACGTATGCACCTTACCCAATGGGAACCAAAGCGGAGTTACAAATTATATAATCCAGTAAATGATTAGATAAAATTGCTTTCTTCCGACTGATTTGCACTTTATCCGACTTGGGAAATAAAAATAGAAATAATTTATTCCTTGAATAAGCAGTTGTGTATACAATAAACAGTGGGACTCGAACTCTTACCGTAGCCTATTATGTACGCTTGTAATACCAGTGGCATTACTCAGTCGTTGCTAACACTACAGAAGGCAAGGAAGCGAGAAAAAAAGGAAAGAAAAAGTGAAGGGAGGGAATTAGGCCATCGATACTCTCAACAAGCTCAAGCAATGCAGCATGTTGCCACTTTACGTCGATGTTTAGTACGAAAATATTAACAAATTGTGAGTTTCAACTGTACAAAACATTAGAAAATAGCACGTATTGATGCTATTTTCTAATGTAAGTGTATTTTTAGCAAAAACTGCAGTAACTTAATAGATACTGCAGTTATTTATTGCATATATTATTATTAATTTGTTTTTGATTATATAGTTTCTAGATTAATTAGCAGTACGATATTTATCTAATAATAAGTGCAGTATCTAAGATACTTACTGCCGTTATGGTTAGGAGGGTCAGTTGTATTGCTAGAGCAGTTACTAAACATAAGTATACTTTTGAAATATTATCATACATAACCTTAACATACATATATAAATATGTCACCTTACAATTCTTTATTCTTTTACCTTTCTATTGATATATGCCATGTCGCTGTAACTTGCGTAGTTTTGAAGCTAGAGTAAATTTTAAATTATTTCCTTTAACCACGTTTTTCTCGAAAACAGGTTGGACTTAGTTACTGCACTCTTAGTTAGGAGGGCAGAATCAAATTAGTCATAGTTTATGTTCTCTTTTCCTCATCCAAATGGAGCAAATAAAATTAAGGCTATCTGATTGTCGTCATAAAAAGGCAACAAGTAGATAATTCTGAATAGTGTCTCCCAGTGGGGTAATCAGATTGCGAAATGGGAGTATTTACCATCAATATAAGCTATAACTAGATCTCTAGGCTCTAAGAGCCCATTTCCAATCCTGCAAAGTGGTTTGATATACCTACTTGCAAAACTATTATTAGAAGTCCTCTTCTTGGTTGATCTCGGTATCTTGAGCTATTTTTGTTAACCACTATGTTGAGCTAAACGAAAGCAGGTACATAATTCAACCTTTGTTGTACAGTTAAACCCGTATAAATAATTACTGAAAGTCGTAAATACGATTTGGAGAAGGTTGTAGATACATTTATTTGTACTTTTACGACAGAGTACATACCTCAACAAGTTTATAAGTCTCAAAGTCCTGTAGCTGCCTCTGGAAGCCGAAGTTGGGGTTGGCGACGGCTCTTCCCGCTCGGACCACCTTCAGTGCCTCTCGCCATGATAGCGATGTCACCGACATAATGTACGCTACTGCCACAGTCACGCTCCGGGACATGCCTGCCAAGCTGACAAAAGCAAGAAAAATATTATACGTCCGACAAGAATTAAGAGTCCATTGTAAAAAGGAAACGGGCAAAATTCTTTTCAAAATTAAATGGTACTTTCATTTTTCTTTTAGGTTTATTATGATGATTCATTCTTAACGTTTGTACTGGAACAACGGTTTCTGCATATTCATCGTCTAAGGTTGCTCCCTCACTGAGAGCATTCTCCTGTAATGTAACAAGCAGTTAAGATTCGAGCATTACATCGGTGAGTGGGAAGAACTGAGCATTACAATACGCAATCTGATGATAAAATTTGTAACAATACAGTAAGGCTGCAATTCCACCAGATATAACGGAAATGTTTTCAAGTCTTTACTTGAGTTCGGTACCTGCGGGTGCGTGCGAGTGTCTACAAGAGCGTGCAAGTCCCTGCGACTACCTGCGTGTGCATGTGAGTGCGTGCGAGTGCATGGGATTGCCTGTGTGTGCCTGTGAGTGCTTACGAGTGCCTGGGAGTGCCTGCGAATCCTGTGAGTGCCTGCTGGAATCGCAACCTCATGCTCAAAATCAAATCAGATTGTTACATTATAAGCTCGTCAATCAGTGAGGCAGTATTGTAATGGAATGCCTAAAATCGAATCTTGGATGTTACATTACAGGTGAATACTCGCGGTGAGAGAGCGCCCCAAAGTTCTAGAAATGGGTTAACTTAATTTTCACTGAAAGTTGGTCTTTGGCCGAGTACTTATACCTAAACCAACAAAAACTAGAAGTCAATAGAGTAATCAAGCCCGTAACATTCTTACTATGTCAAATAGATGACACCCGTGGTCAAGTGACTTGCACCGGTCTTCATGGTGTCGCCATCTTTGACGACCCAGGTTCGATCCCCAGCCCGATCAATGTAAAAAAACTAACTTTTCTATATTGTCTCGGGTCTGGGTGTTTGTGGTACCGTCGTTGTTTCCAATTCCACAGCACAAGTGCTTTAGCTACTTATTTGGGTATCACAGCAGCGTATGCAATCTTGTCTAATATTCATTTTATTAAAATAGAGAAATGTTAGTGATTTTCGAGATAGTCGTTTCGCAAATTTCATTTCATGTCTACTACTATTGTGCCTATCTATTTTTTAGGCCCATATTTTCCTTTTTAACTATATCAAACATTCTTGCACTGGTGTATAATTATATCAAATCTATTTAAAAACTGAATACGTTGACAACGTCGTTAATTTTCATTGAAATTTATAAAATATGTATATAAGGAAAAGGCAGTAAATGGTTAGGTCATAAATGCAGACTTTCAGAACGCCCTTCACGTAGTCATCCACGACTCGAAGGAGTGAAAATGCCATTAGAATGTTTCGCCATTCAAGTCGACAGTAATTGCGGCGTGGGGACACCGCGAAGGAGTTCGCAGTGTGCTCGCGCTCTCGTTATGTAATTAAGTTTAAAAATATTCAATTTAAAAAAATTACCTATTTCATCCTAAGCCTCAAATTTGATACAACAGCTAAAAATGTTGTTAATTGTTTGGTTTTATATACAGTTCTACCACGCGCGTTGGAATGTTCAGATGACGATAAGCAACGCGCGGTGCGACCAAATATTTGCCTATAATTTTAAACACGTGGTTTGAAAACGCACTTAGATTTGTTATCTGAACTTAGACTTAAAGACCCATTGTGTCACCTCTTCACACATAAAACGTCAAATGGATAAGTCGCTGATTTGCGGCACATTCAATAAAAATTAAATAAAATATGAGCTGAGATTATTTTATCTTTATGTCTCGCGGTAACGGGCGCAAAAACATTTGCGATTTAAGGCTTTGGGTGGCACTGCAACTGTTATGGATAGTTGTGTCTCTTAACACCGCCTGGTGTTAAGAGACGCAAGACAACCGTCAAGACGAACAAGAACAACCGTCACTTTATAATAAAATAGGCAAATTGCGTAACACAGTGCTTCTTATAGAAGCTTGTATTAGACCAGTTAGGCAATCCCCGTTCCTGCCGAGGTATATATATGTATATAGTGCTTTTCTCAAACAATGCGAGGAAATGATAAAAGAGTTGAAGGAGAAAGTATAAAAGAAAAAGTGAAACAAGTTTTGCATGACAAATTTTGTTTCTTGTTTTAAATTAGGCGGAGTACAGTCCATTATTATAGTATTTTCGCTCTTTTCACTTGAATACATTTTCGCAAAGAAAATATACAAAATCGAGTTCTTAAGGTTTCGCGATTGTTACACATAGGAAATGAAACTATTCTTCCGGATTTAAATCGCGTAAGGGCCCGAAATGCCGGTTTTTTTGAAAATATAAATATACGTGATTTAATTCCGGAAAAATAGTTTCATTTCCTAAATATACAAAAATTATAGAAATAACAAAAAGAACTTCAAAGTAATTTTGTTTATTTTACCGCCCTTTTTCAAAGTATTTGGTGCAGGTATATAACACGTAACACCATAGACATATTTTTTAAATTCTCGAAGTGAGCCTTTGATTGTGTGTCATTTTTTTAACCGACTTTAAAAAAAGGAGGAGGTTCTCAATTCGACTGTATGTTTCTTTTGTATGTATGCTACGCGCGATAGCGGCATTTGTGAACCGATTTTGATGATTCTTTTTTGTTGGAAAGAGGGCACTTCAGAGATGGTTCCATTAAAATTTAAAGAAAATATTGGACCTCTAAGGGCGGTAAGCTAGGTGATGAATGACTTTTGAGGTCGGTATTTTTAGGACTGTGTACTGAGGTTAGGTTATCTTTAGTCTGTTTACATAACTCTTTGGTAGTACATACCTATATTTCAAAGTTTAGAGGAGCGGACAGAAATGGAAGTACAGATGGCAGCACATCAAGCTTCACATTGACGGATCTTGTTCCGTTGCAATCGAGGCGATATTCGAACAAAAGGTATAGTTTGCTGTGCTGTTAACTGTACATACTTATTTTGCCGGCTTAGGGTGGCAAAGAGTTGCAAGCTCCGTAAATGACTAACTTTGTGGTTACTTTATTTAATGTAATTATATCTGACAAAAAGATAATTACTTATTAAGCGTACCGCACTTGTATGGTCATTGTTCAAGCCGCGGAATTTTACAATTAAGTGAAACTATTTTACATTTACGCATTCCAAAGTTATAGTGTCACATTATAAAATTCACGTCATTAAAAATTGGCACGACGATGAAGCGTTAAATTGATCGATAATTAATCGAGCTAATCGTTTTAAGTGATTAGGATACCAGACAGCCTTGATGAGTGAATCAATTTCTTTTTTGTACAAACATTTTAGTTTTATTTAAACTACAGCGCTAACAGATGTGTTTTAAGTTAAAGTATATACCAGGAGATCAAATCTTAAATGTGCAATGTTTTTCTATAACAGCTTTTCAAGAATATAAATAGGCGCTTAAAAGCAGAAAAGCTAGAAAAACGAAAAACAAGTGATTAAAAGAGTTGCGAATTTCCATAACAATAGCCTCACTGAGTTGTTACTTCGTCATTGCGACATTGATGGCGCTATTATAAATTAATTTTATGGGCATTAAGATTCAAATTTTTTAGGAACGAATTAGTTCGTGTTTTAAATATTAATTTTATTTTACATATCAAATAAAGCATTATTATATCATTATACGTGGACATGTAAGGATTTTTTTTAAGTTAGTCAAACTCAGGTCAATATTCTCTACGCAACTTCGGTGGCAATTATTATTATACAAGTATTCGATTATTTTATCCTGAAATATTAAATAATACTTTATGATAATATTCGAGAGTATTCAAATAATAAAAATTGCTAATCAAATTAAGCAGAGAAAACCTTAATATCCACTTTAACCACAATCATACTTGATGGTAAGTAATGATGTGATCGTGAATGAATAGATGAAGTTCCTATGACGTATAGCAATATAGCATTACCATTTTTAAAATCTCTATATTTTAATAGACAATTTGTACAGGAGAACATGATCCATATACTTTATGAATACTATCTGGGACATGGTCTGGGTGTAAACATGTTTTTTTAATTCAGTAGTAGTAAATTTTTTCGTCGTTCGGGATTAGCCACCCTGTCAGAATTTATTTTGATGTCAGGTTTTATTTTATTTTATTTTATTTTTTTAATTATTTAATTTCTGTAGTTCTTATATTACGTTTTCATTTAATTCCAATCATTTATTTTCAGACCAATGTAGTTCAATATAGTCCAATCGAAACTAAAATAGACTACCCGTAAGTGCAGCCTCATACGGCGTAGCATGATCGGGCAGTCAATTTTAGCAGCCGCAGTTTTTGTCCTGTCACAGATACTGCCTTAATATCATCTAATACGATGAACGAAAGTTTTTATTTATTTTTATAATATCAAGTGACAGGTCGAACAAGTTGTGCGTTGTGTAATATAAATCCGTTGGCATTTATTATTATTATTGTTGACATTAAACGTAATGGGGCCCACAAACACTACGAAAAATCCTTACGAACCAGATGGCACCGTTTGAACGGTACTTACTGATCGTAACGTGTGTATGAGAAAACTGTACAGTATTGTACGATTTTTTTAATTGTCGAACAAAATAGTATCAAAATTTGAATAGACAAATCGAACCGCATGAACTTTGCGATAATCGTAGCCGTGTCAGAAGGGCGTCAATCTTCGCGTCGTTTTTCTTAACCTTTTAAACACCATGTGCCACTGACAAAAACTACTTACGTACCCTAGATGCCAAGCCTATACAGTGACGTGACATATTAAGAATTTCCACCTTATATTAATTCATCCTAAGTCAATGAAGAACATAACTGAACATAAAATGCAACTATGAATCCATACTTAACTAGAATATACAAATGACACAAGCAATATCTTAGTATTTATTTATCAATTTCAATTGAAAATCAAAGGGTGGTACTGACGCTTTAAGGCGTCATTAGCGTAGAAGCGAAGCTAATGTAAGACCCTTCAAAGCGTACACGGCGGTCAAAGCGCGAGAATTAAACCAAGAAACGTTAAACAGTTATCTGTCTCCAACGTGGAACGGAACGGAATGAAAATCAGTATGAAGATCATACGTTGCATTAGTAGGGCTAACACAATAGGGCGCGACTTGCGCGAGAGCGACATAGAGCGCGTGATTTCCATGCGAGAATAGCAGAATCTCGTGCTTTATGTCGCTCTCGCTTAAGTAGCGTTATTCTTATCGTGCTAGCCCTACTAGACGTAATGATTTTTTCGTAGCGTTTGTGAGCCCCATAACATGCTTAACATATATCGAATTTCGCTATATATACATAATAAAGAGTTACTTACCAGTGTATAAGTACGTTGCCATCCCTGAGCCTCGCTGCATGTATGAAGTCATTACAGAGACTGAAATACTGCGTCAGGTTCTGGTCTGGAGAGTCTGAAGCCATTATGCACAGGTAGTGTTTGTCCTGTTGACAAAACGTAAATTTTAATTGCAAGAAATCTTTGTACTATTCGTAATGAATGACAGTTGAAAATTTTCAATTGAAAATGATTGAAAACTAAAATTTAGCCATTGAATATTTTATTCTTAGATAATTATAGAATATCCTTAGGTATATCGTATTTTTTTGTAGGACCGTTATTTAACAGTAAAACACTTGATGTAGCAAAACAGTTTTGAACCGACTTTAAAAAAAGGAGGAGGTTCTCAATAGATAGTAAGAGATACTCCAGCATTTGTGTTTATTTGTTTGAAAGAAGGTCAGTATTGGTCCCATTTAAATTTGAACAAAATATTCCACTAGTAAACTAGGGGATGAATCCGGTTTCACGCACTTTCCGGTACCGATTTCAAGAAAATTTGGCAAATAGATGTAATTCCACGAACTTTTGAGACCAGTTTTTTTAGTACTCTATACTGAGATTATCTCTCTTCCGGTGCCACAATTGAACATTATACTTTACTTATTTGATAAATACAGACCTAAAACTTCCTCAGTGGCCGAGAGAGATATTTGTATGGCCTACAATTATTTCTCTCGTGAGTTTGGGTGTAATTTGTGGTGTTCTATGTACGTGTCCATGGTACACGAGACACAGAATTTTCCTAGGGCTATGAGTTTAAAAAAAATTGTCAGACAAAAACCTGAAAGTTTATTTTTGGTAAATTTATTGTGTTTTATAGAAATTCAAGAAACAACAGTTATTCTTCTGCGATATTGTTACGATTTTACTAATAACCCTATAAATATAAGTAGGCTCATAGTAAAAATATTGCACGCCGCGAATACACAATTTTGTATCACATGTACCAAAAAGCTTTTTTAACCCATATAAGCTATATTTATCATGATTTTTTTGCTCTTAAATAACAAACCATTTCCCACCTTTATAAAGATTTTACAGTTTCATACCGCTTACGTAAAACGTATAAATAAATATCAAGCGAGTTTGTGGCCTAGAGTTAGTTAGTTAGAAATTGGGAAGCCCACAGGGATGAACTTTAGCGTCGAAATGATATTAGTTTACTATTCCTGTTAACCTTTAGGTGTTAATATGAAAATATTTCCAATAAAGCTAGCACAGAGAAAATTGGCACATAGTTACTTGCCACGTTTCCGTGGCGTGTTAAAAAAAACACAAATACAAATTGATCTTCATCGTGTAAAGCAAAGATATAAAATGCGTATGTGGCAGTACCAAGCTTCGCTCTTTCCTTCCGTTCAAACTGTGTCAGGCAAAGTGCTATCTATATTAACAAAAATAAATAAGTAATACGGTTAAAACTTGCCGTTTTAATATTTTGATTATATAAATAGTGAATTTATTGAGATTTTTTGTGAAATACCTCGACTCGTTTTGTTATGATTATGAATCGAACACACGGAATTTTTGTTTTATAATAATTTTTTTAATAATATTAAGTGACGGGACGAACAAGTCGCGCGTCTGATGGTTAAGCTACACGCCCTTCCCTAACAATTGCAGCACCATTCAGTGCTTTAAATCGGAAAGATTGGGGGCACTCCCGTTGCGCCCGTCACCCTGAGATATACGTCGAAAAGTCAAGTCCCATGTGCCTGTAATTTCACCAGCACCCTTACCCTTCAAAACTGGTGCACAGTAATGCTGACATTGCCTACTGCTTGTCGGCAGAAATAGGCAAGGTAGCATTACTACTAATAAAGAGCTTTCCTGCGACTAAAATATTGTAACAGTGATTTTAACAAGCTGCCAATGTCACATTCATTAATATCAGCTATTAATATTAACTAATATAATATCACTCTACTCATTGAAAGTGCTACGGCGGTGCCTACAAGATTTTTGCCGAGGTGTGGGAAAACATGTACGAAAAATATAAACATAAGATGTTGAACTTGGCATCGAGTTGGATTTCGATGCTTTCTCCTTCGCATCAATTATCCAAAGAGAACTTGGCCCATTCTTTACAGTAACATTTTTGGTATTTTTATTTATTTTATTTATTAATGGTAAACTAGAAGTATATACATTTATATTTCTAAATTAAACAACGAAGTAAGCTAAATAAGTTTACACTTGTAGAAATAAAGTAACTTAA